TGTGTGTGTTTGTGTGTGTGCTAGCGTGTGTGTGTGTGTGTGTGTGTGTGTGTGTGTGTGTGCTAGCGTGTGAGTGTGTGTGTGTGTCAGAGAGCTATGCAGGAAATAACAGAGTATGTTTGTCCTCCATATGTCAGATCTCCTTTTTATTTCTCAGTAAAGCTCGCCGCTCCCCCTCACTGATAGAGACAGACTTGACGTCCTGAACACATCACAGGTTGGCTTTGACTCGCAGACAGACAGCTTTGTTGTTCCAGTTTAACTACGCCACGCTTTCCACGCTGCCGGCGATTTGCATCTGTGCTCCGTGATCCGCCCGCGGGGAATAGAAAGCTCTAATCCAATCAGCAGGTCCCTGAAGTGCTGCCCCTGAGAGGGAGACACAACAATAGGATCACTCTGCACAGAGAGGGAGGAGGAGGAGAGAGGGAAGAGAGAGGGAGGAGAGAGAGGGAGAGGGAAGAGAGAGGGAAGAGAGAGGGAGGAGAGAGAGGGAAGAGAGAGAGAGAGAGGGAGGGAGAGAGAGGGAAGAGAGAGAGAGAGAGAGGGAAGAGAGAGGGAGGAGAGAGAGGGAGGAGAGAGAGGAGAGAGAGAGAGAGAGAAGAGGAAAGAGGAAGAGGAAGAGAGGGAGGAAGGTGGAGACGGAGAGAGGTGACGGTGGGGAAAAGAAAGGCGAGTTAGGTGAGAAGAGGAAGAATAGAGTGGTCCTCTTCTGAATCCAATGAATGCCAAAAAATAGAAAGACAGACTAAAAGAAAATGCTAAGAATACTTAAAATGTTGGCTTCAAAAATGGATTATTAACTTCATAACGTATACTGCTGCAGTGGACCCTGAAGGCAGCATCTCCCTGGTTCAATGTGATTTTCCTACCAGATTTTGTAATATTTCAGAAAGTAATGTAAAAACAATCTTTTATGATAATTACACGTTTAGTTCAGCAGGATAATCTCCACATATTAACACCACTACCTCTGAAGTAAAACCCTAATGTTGGGCTATAAAGGAACTACAGCACGGTCACATGACTTCACGTCACCACCGCTAAGCTAAAGGTGGCTAATGTTGGGCTATAAAGGAACTACAGCACAGTCACATGACTTCACGTCACCACCGCTAAGCTAAAGGTGGCTAATGTTGGGCTATAAAGGAACTACAGCACGGTCACATGACTTCACGTCACCACCGCTAAGCTAAAGGTGGCTAATGTTGGGCTATAAAGGAACCACAGTACGGTCACATGACTTCACGTCCCCACCGCTAAGCTAAAGGTGGCTAATGTTGGGCTATAAAGGAACCACAGTACGGTCACATGACTTCACGTCCCCACCGCTAAGCTAAATGTGGCTAATGTTGGGCTATAAAGGAACTACAGCACGGTCACATGACTTCACGTCCCCACCGCTAAGCTAAAGGCGGTTAATGTTGGGCTATAAAGGAACTACAGCACGGTCACATGACTTCACGTCACCACCGCTAAGCTAAAGGTGGCTAATGTTGGGCTATAAAAGAACTACAGCACGGTCACATGACTTCACGTCCCCACCGCTAAGCTAAAGGCGGTTAATGTTGGGCTATAAAGGAACTACAGCACGGTCACATGACTTCACGTCCCCACCGCTAAGCTAAAGGTGGCTATTGTTGGGCTATAAAGGAACTACAGCACGGTCACATGACTTCACGTCACCACCGCTAAGCTAAAGGAGGCTAATGTTGGGCTATAAAAGAACTTCAGCACGGTCACACGACTTCACGTCACCACCGCTAAGCTAAAGGAGGCTAATGTTGGGCTGTAAAGGAACTACAGCACGGTCACATGACTTCACGTCCCCACCGCTAAGCTAAAGGCGGTTAATGTTGGGCTATAAAGGAACTACAGCACGGTCACATGACTTCACGTCCCCACCGCTAAGCTAAAGGTGGCTAATGTTGGGCTATAAAGGAACCACAGCACGGTCACATGACTTCACGTCACCACCGCTAAGCTAAAGGAGGCTAATGTTGGGCTGTAAAGGAACTACAGCACGGTCATATGACTTCACGTCCCCACCGCTAAGCTAAAGGCGGTTAATGTTGGGCTATAAAGGAACTACAGCACGGTCACATGACTTCACATCACCACCGCTAAGCTAAAGGTGGCTAATGTTGGGCTATAAAGGAACTACAGCACGGTCACATGACTTCACGTCCCCACCGCTAAGCTAAAGGCGGTTAATGTTGGGCTATAAAGGAACTACAGCACGGTCACATGACTTCACGTCACCACCGCTAAGCTAATGTTGGGCTATAAAAGAACTACAGCACGGTCACATGACTTCACGTCCCCACCGCTAAGCTAAAGGCGGTTAATGTTGGGCTATAAAGGAACTACAGCACGGTCACATGACTTCACGTCCCCACCGCTAAGCTAAAGGTGGCTAATGTTGGGCTATAAAGGAACCACAGCACGGTCACATGACTTCACGTCCCCACCGCTAAGCTAAAGGTGGCTAATGTTGGGCTATAAAGGAACTACAGCACGGTCACATGACTTCACGTCCCCACCGCTAAGCTAAAGGCGGTTAATGTTGGGCTATAAAGGAACTACAGCACGGTCACATGACTTCACGTCACCACCGCTAAGCTAAAGGTGGCTAATGTTGGGCTATAAAAGAACTACAGCACGGTCACATGACTTCACGTCCCCACCGCTAAGCTAAAGGCGGTTAATGTTGGGCTATAAAGGAACTACAGCACGGTCACATGACTTCACGTCCCCACCGCTAAGCTAAAGGTGGCTATTGTTGGGCTATAAAGGAACTACAGCACGGTCACATGACTTCACGTCACCACCGCTAAGCTAAAGGAGGCTAATGTTGGGCTGTAAAGGAACTACAGCACGGTCACATGACTTCACGTCCCCACCGCTAAGCTAAAGGCGGTTAATGTTGGGCTATAAAGGAACTACAGCACGGTCACATGACTTCACGTCCCCACCGCTAAGCTAAAGGTGGCTAATGTTGGGCTATAAAGGAACCACAGCACGGTCACATGACTTCACGTCACCACCGCTAAGCTAAAGGAGGCTAATGTTGGGCTGTAAAGGAACTACAGCACGGTCACATGACTTCACGTCCCCACCGCTAAGCTAAAGGCGGTTAATGTTGGGCTATAAAGGAACTACAGCACGGTCACATGACTTCACATCACCACCGCTAAGCTAAAGGTGGCTAATGTTGGGCTATAAAGGAACTACAGCACGGTCACATGACTTCACGTCCCCACCGCTAAGCTAAAGGCGGTTAATGTTGGGCTATAAAGGAACTACAGCACGGTCACATGACTTCACGTCACCACCGCTAAGCTAATGTTGGGCTATAAAAGAACTACAGCACGGTCACATGACTTCACGTCCCCACCGCTAAGCTAAAGGCGGTTAATGTTGGGCTATAAAGGAACTACAGCACGGTCACATGACTTCACGTCCCCACCGCTAAGCTAAAGGTGGCTAATGTTGGGCTATAAAGGAACCACATCACGGTCACATGACTTCACGTCACCACCGCTAAGCTAAAGGAGGCTAATGTTGGGCTGTAAAGGAACTACAGCACGGTCACATGACTTCACGTCCCCACCGCTAAGCTAAAGGTGGCTAATGTTGGGCTATAAAGGAACTACAGCACGGTCACATGACTTCACGTCCCCACCGCTAAGCTAAAGGCGGTTAATGTTGGGCTATAAAGGAACTACAGCACGGTCACATGACTTCACGTCACCACCGCTAAGCTAAAGGTGGCTAATGTTGGGCTATAAAAGAACTACAGCACGGTCACATGACTTCACGTCCCCACCGCTAAGCTAAAGGTGGCTAATGTTGGGCTATAAAGGAACTACAGCACGGTCACATGACTTCACGTCACCACTGCTAAGCTAAAGGTGGCTAATGTTGGGCTATAAAGGAACTACAGCACGGTCACATGACTTCACGTCACCACCGCTAAGCTAAAGGTGGTTAATGTTGGGCTATAAAAGAACTTCAGCACGGTCACACGACTTCACTTGTTTCAGGCTAAAATCCCCAAAACATTGAAGAGGGAACAGGAAGTGCTTAAATGCTGACCTATTTCCAGGATTAAGGACTCATTCCTGTACCAGTCAATTGAATAAGGGTAGAGGAAGAAACCCAAAACAGAAAGCTGCAGGAGAGGGTGAACCGTGGAGAGACTAATGAATAATTTTACTTTTTTATTCGGCACTTGAGGACGTGTAAGAGCGTCCGCTGGATTTTAATCTGTCTGTGAGCGTTGGAGGCCGCTGGGCTCTTGTTCTGAGGCAACAGTTTGACCATTTATCATCATTATGAGGTGCAAAGGCAGTGATTAAGAGCTGAGTCCTGCTGATGAAGCCTGTCATATATTGTGTCTTATTATACCTACACACACACACACACACACACACACACACACACACACACACACACACACACACACACACACACACACACACACACACACACTACCCCATCCCTGTCCCCAATCCACAGTTCTAACAAGAGTTATACCTCTTCTATTGAACCCTTGACCCCAAGTTTCATCTTTAACCCACACACACAAATACACAGAAATATCACGAATAATATTCTCTGACACCTTTTTTGTGTTAGGGTCACACAGCCTCCGTGATTAAAAGAAAGAATAACCCTTTTAAATGAATTTAGGGCTGCATAATTTAGCAAAATGGACAAAATCTACAATATAGAAATCACACTGAGCTCAATATTTAGTAAATGAAAACTCCCTCTGGAGAGAACACAGGTTTGTTTGCCTTTGCAGACCATTAACATGCACTAAAACCTATATAACACACTCTTTACAGGAGAGGGAAACCCCAAAAAAGCAGTATAGGGCTATCTATATCTCATCGTCTCATAATTTGCAGATTTCATCGTCGAGTAAATTCATTTTTCTCACAGTAAATATTTTGTTTATGTGATTTTAATAAGAGTTGTTTTGTGTCTGGCAGGATAATGAAGGACAGACGGCGCTACATTACGGTAAGAAGGCCTCTCTTACTCTTCTCTATGGTCCTTAATGTAGTAAACTTACTGTCAGTGTGTGATATTTGTTCACACACTGACTTCATTATAGTGCGTGTTCTCTCTTCTCACACAGCTTCTTGTTTTTACCCAAGATATTTCTGAAATATTTTCATCTATCCCCGCTCCATTCGTGTGTGTGTGTGTGTGTGTGTGTGTGTGTGTGTGTGTGTGTGTGTGTGTGTGTGTGTGTGTGTGTGTGTGTGTGTGTGTGTGTGTGTGTGTGTGTGTGTGTGTGTGTGTGTGTGTGTGTGTGTGTGTGTGTGTGTGTGTGTGTGTGTGTGTGTGTGTGTGTGTGTGTGTGTGTGTGTGTGTGTGTGTGTGTGTGTGTGTGTGTGTGTGTGTGTGTGTGTGTGTGTGATAATCGGCATCTCCCAGAGGAAATCAGCACAGGTCCTCAGACTCCCCTGACCCTCTCGTGCCCCAACACACACTCCTCCCAGAGGGGCGTGTCCCCCGTCCTGTGTGTGTGTGTGTGTGTGTGTGTGTGTGTGTGTGTGTGTGTGTGTGTGTGTGTGTGTGTGTGTGTGTGTGTGTGTGTGTGTGTGTGTGTGTGTGTGTGTGTGTGTGTGTGTGTGTGTGTGTGTGTGTGTGTGTGTGTGTGTGTGTGTGTGTGTGTGTGGCTGCACCATCTGTTCCCCTTGCTTGGTGGCGTCAGTGTGGGCATCACCCACCGGGAATATCTCCACACACACACACACTTGAGGATGGGGCATAAAAAGATGACTGATAAACATAAGCGATGAAGTCTCTCTCTCTCTCTCTCTCATCCCTCTCTCTCTCTCATCCTGCTCTCCCTCTCTCTCTCTCATCCTGCTCTCCCTCTCTCTCTCTCATCCCTCTCTCTCTCTCATCCCTCTCTCTCTCACTCATCCCTCTCTCTCTCTCTCTCTCTCTCATCCCTCTCTCTCACTCTTTGCACAGGGCCACGCGGCTGCATTGATTAATGGAGGGTTTACTGCTCACCATAAATTGTTCTCCTTCCTCTACGGCTCCCCGAGGGCCGGACACTTTTTACAGCTCAAGGCCCAGGCCAGACACCCGGCACGTGCGCGCACACACACACACACACACACACACACACACACACACACACACACACACACACACACACACACACACACACACACACACACACACACACACACACACACCAACACACTGCTTGCTAAATAAAATAGTGTTTAGAGCAACAAGAGGAGGATAGCTGGGAAAATAAGCCAAGCTTTGTTAGTCTGATCCTGCTGAGATGGATTCGTGTAGTGTTTGATACTCACACACCTCCTGCTATTCATGCACACACACTCGCTTACACACTTGCATGCATTCCGATGTATCATGAGATGTCACACACAAACACACACACACACACCAGCTAAATAAAATAGTGTTTAGAGGATTGCAGGCATGGCTGGCAAACGAAGCCAAGCTTTGTTAATCTGAAGCTGCTGAGAAATAGTGTTTGATTCTCTCCTGCTGTTCATGGACACACACTTTCTTACTCACTTGCATTGTGGCATCATATCTCTCTCTCTCTCTCTCACACACACACACACACACACACACACACACACACACACACACACACACACACACACACACACACACACACACACACACACACACACCGGGCCAAAAAGAGTCTTGCAAGTGTGTTAAAAATAAGCCTAAAATATGCCAAGCTTTGTTAGTCTGACTCTGCTGAAAGATAAGTGTTTGATACTCTCCTGCCAATCATGCACACACACACTCCCTAATACACACACACATGCATTCCGATGTATCATCATATCTCTCACACACACATACACACACACACACAAACACACACACATCCCTGGGCTGGAGGTTAAAAAGCCCGGCTGTCAATCAGGCGGCTGCTGACATCAGCGATCATGGCGCCGGCCCTTTAAGAGAGGAGCACTCAGACTATAACACCCCTTGTTGTTAAACACCAAATATGTGCAATATGTGCAATATATATATATATCGTTAATAACTGTGCAATATATACCTGGCTGCTAAATCTTCAGAAGATGTGTAGTTTGTAAATTGTGTAATTTTTATTATTTTTGTATCTTTTTGTATGCATGCTTTAGGGACATGAAGCTGTCTTTGGCTCTGTTCTGCTGTAACAATGTACATTCCCCCTCTGTGGCACAAATAATGGGATTCTGATTCTGATGAGGGGGAGATGAGGGAGATGGGGGGGGGGGTGAGGTGCATCGGGAAGCAAAGACCTGCTAACTGGGTTAAGAAAGTGCAACCCCCCCCCCTGATAGAGAGGAAGAGAAGACCCTTTTAGCGGGGCACAAATTGCCAATGGGGCAGAAATGAAGCGTTCAGAGGATCTGGGGTCCAGTGGTGTCAGAGCCGGCTGGAGATGGGCTTTTCATTAACTGCAGCGCTGTGCAGTATGAAGAGGAGGATCGTTCACTGAAGCTGCTCACAACATCCTGACAGGAACTAATGAGCTGCAGGGAGGCGTCACACTTTCATATTAACACTTTATACAGATGAGAAGTGAGAGCAATAACAAATCAGACAAATAGATGAAGTCCTTTGTATTTCTCTTGAGCGCTTTTCCTTAACCTACACTGGAAAATGTCATGAGGGCATGGAAAGGAGGATTCATCAGGACTTAGGAAACAACAACTGTGCTGCTTAGAGAATCCGACTGCACTTACACTAAAGGCTACGTCATTATGTGAAGACGGATGTTATTGACGTGCGTCGCTTTAAATGTTGCTGATGCGAGGATTTGTTGAACAGTATGGTCTTTAATAGGGATAGGGGGGTTAAGAGGGGCCTTATGCTGCTGTTCAGGTGTATATCAGTATGTAGTGTCTCTACTTTAAAGAGTCCTCTCCTGCTGATGTTCAGGTGTATATCAGTATGTAGTGTCTCTACTTTAAAGAGTCCTCTCCTGCTGATGTTCAGGTGTATATCAGTATGTAGTGTCTCTACTTTAAAGAGTCCTCTCCTGCTGATGTTCAGGTGTATATCAGTATGTAGTGTCTCTACTTTAAAGAGTCCTCTCCTGCTGATGTTCAGGTGTATATCAGTATGTAGTGTCTCTACTTTAAAGAGTCCTCTCCTGCTGATGTTCAGGTGTATATCAGTATGTAGTGTCTCTACTTTAAAGAGTCCTCTCCTGTTGATGTTCAGGTGTATATCAGTATGTAGTGTCTCTACTTTAAAGAGTTCTCTCCTGCTGATGTTCAGGTGTATATCAGTATGTAGTGTCTCTACTTTAAAGAGTCCTCTCCTGCTGATGTTCAGGTGTATATCAGTATGTAGTGTCTCTACTTTAAAGAGTTCTCTCCTGCTGATGTTCAGGTGTATATCAGTATGTAGTGTCTCTACTTTAAAGAGTTCTCTCCTGCTGATGTTCAGGTGTATATCAGTATGTAGTGTCTCTACTTTAAAGAGTCCTCTCCTGCTGATGTTCAGGTGTATATCAGTATGTAGTGTCTCTACTTTAAAGAGTCCTCTCCTGCTGATGTTCAGGTGTATATCAGTATGTAGTGTCTCTACTTTAAAGAGTCCTCTCCTGCTGATGTTCAGGTGTATATCAGTATGTAGTGTCTCTACTTTAAAGAGTCCTCTCCTGCTGATGACCAGGTGTATATCAGTATGTAGTGTCTCTACTTTAAAGAGTCCTCTCCTGCTGATGACCAGGTGTATATCAGTATGTAGTGTCTCTACTTTAAAGAGTCCTCTCCTGCTGATGACCAGGTGTATATCAGTATGTAGTGTCTCTACTTTAAAGAGTCCTCTCCTGCTGATGACCAGGTGTATATCAGTATGTAGTGTCTCTACTTTAAAGAGTCCTCTCCTGCTGATGTTCAGGTGTATATCAGTGTGTAGTGTCTCTACTTTAAAGAGTCCTCTCCTGCTGATGTTCAGGTGTATATCAGTATGTAGTGTCTCTACTTTAAAGAGTCCTCTCCTGCTGATGACCAGGTGTATATCAGTATGTAGTGTCTCTACTTTAAAGAGTCCTCTCCTGCTGATGTTCAGGTGTATATCAGTGTGTAGTGTCTCTACTTTAAAGAGTCCTCTCCTGCTGATGTTCAGGTGTATATCAGTATGTAGTGTCTCTACTTTAAAGAGTCCTCTCCTGTTGATGTTCAGGTGTATATCAGTATGTAGTGTCTCTGGTTTTATTTTCTATGTTAAATATCTTATATTGTGTTTTGCTTGTGTTCTACTCTCCAGCCTTAGGTGTATTCATCTTCTTATTCTCTCGTCCCTGTTCGTGTTTCCTTTTTGTGTTTCCTTTTCGTTCCCCCTATTGTAAAGTGTCCTTGGAAGGCGCTATATAAATCCAACTATTATTACTATTATAATAACCCCTCCTTTATTTCCTCCTCTCCTCCTCTCAGCGTCGGCCTGTGAGTTTGCAGAGATCGTGGATCTGCTGCTGAGCTCCGGCGCCGACCCGTCCATCAGAGATCTGGAGGGTTCCCTCCCTGAAGAGGTGACCGAATCCAGCGCCATCTCCTCCCTCCTGCAGCAGCACACGGCTCCAAAAGGATAGACTCCACCCCCCATCTCCTCCTATCTCCTCCCCTCCATCATCACCTCCTCCCTCCTCCCTACAGAGACTCTAACCCCCTCCAGAAGTTAGTTAGTAAACCATTTTATCTCCAAAGTTTGATTTCTCTGCCTCCGCTCTTCGTGGACTGAAGGGTGTAAACATTAGACTCGTGAAATGTTTATTTTATTTATCTGAATATTGTTTATTGAATTTAACGCCCGGTGGGGTTGGGTGATATGACGCTCACTGTCTTTGAGATTCTTGCTGTACTGAAGTTGTTCTTCAAATAGATATCCCTAATAATGCAAATCATGAACAGGAACTAGTCTCTTCTGCAGCTCTGTGAACTCGGAGATGTTGAGGACCCCAAAGTGTTATGTTAGAAATGTACAGTAGGGTCCCCAGCACATAGAAACTGCCGGATGCTAACCTGCATACGTTGGGCAATTTGCACAATTAGCATAAGTTGCATTAGTTAGCATATGCAGACGATAGCTAAAACGTGTCTTTGCCTATTTGGACAATTTTAGAGTGGTTTTGGAGGTTATTGAGGATCCATTTCTGACATCTTCAGGATCAAAATGTCAGTTTTAACCAGAAAGTGGCCGTATCTCTACTCTCTGTGGGCTGATTTTGATTACCATGACTCGTGTTGAGACCATTAGATACAGAGAGCACAAGATGAACATTATAACCTCTACTTTGGGCAATTTTCTTTCAAATAAATAAGCAATCTCTCCAACCGTAATGATCCAGAGTCCCCTGGAACGTCATAATCAACCAAAAATGTGTCAAAGACAACAAATATGGCCACTTTCTGGTTAAAAAACTGCCATGTTTGATCCTGAAGATGTCAGAAATGGATCTTCAATAACCTCCAAAACCACTCCAAATCAGCCAAGCCATTTATTAGCTATTGTATGCATATCCTAATTAACGCTTCTTATGCTAATTGTGCAATTTGACAAACATATATGCAGGTTAGCGTCCGGCAGATTCTATGAGCTGGAGACCCTACATTACATTTCTATCATAAAACTCTGGGGTCTCAACATTTCCAGGTTCCCAACAGGACTCTATGAGCTGGTAAAAGACTAACAAGAGATTCATCCGGTGTTTCAGTGACCGGACGAACCAAAAACTGACATTTCCATTCATCAAAATACTGTACACAACTTCAGCAGAATCTCATCACATTCATATATGTATATATTGTTCTCACAGTATGAAATGACATACTGTAATTAAATATTTGTACATATCACCCACTCCTACTGCCCAGGCCTTTTAGTCTGGCTCCGCCCCCTCTGAGTATTTCTTCATCATTCAGTTGTTTCAGGAATGCTTTAATCATGTCATTAATCACATTAAAGTCTTCAACAAGTCA